AATAACTGAATAAAGAGAATCGACCAAGAGTTACACATAATTCTAAACTGTGTAAATTTGAGAATCACATGATTTTCATATAGATCTGTGCAAATAAATATTCAAAAAAAGTACAGATTGTTATATAAGACCTGAATTATAACTATAACTTATTCTGCTTATATTAAAATATTTTATTTGATCAATTAAATTAAAATAAAACCAGCTTCAGAACTAATTAGTATCATCGTTATTATATATGTATATATATGATATATAGATATATTTATTTAATTGATTATATGCTTGGTGAAAAACATTTGCCTTAAAAATTTAAAAAAAAGTTTGACTACCTAATGCTAAAAACAATGGATTTATTATTATGGAGTGATCAAATGCTATTGTCTTCTATATATGTATTGATGTTTTAAATCAGTAGAATCAGTTTTATATTTAGATTTGAAAACCAAATTAAGTTTCAGCACCAAACCCTATATACAGAATTTATGATACAGGATATAACCTGATTTAATCATAGTGTCCTACAATACGATTTAATACATACATATAAATTTTTATTTCTAATAGTTATACTAAAATTGCATATACAGTATATGTATGTATAATACTATATATATATAGTTTAATATTTATTTTATAAACTACATTTATATAATTTATTATATATACTATTACTGTTAATCATTATTTTCATTAGATACAGTATAACTTTGACTTTGACTACTTGTTTCATTATTTTCATTAGATATAGGAGAGCTTTGACTTGTTTTAGTATAGTATGGTAGAAGGCTTTGATAGTGTATATTTGTATAATGTAAAGGAAGGCTTTGATGATAACTTGTTAAATTTTGTGCATGCAGTTGATCAAATTCATTAGCTAAAAGAGCAAATTAAAATAAATAGAGCAAATTGAAATAAATAAAGTAAAAAAAAAAAAAAAAAAACTAGCTTTTTCCAAAAATACATATTAAACTTATGATAATAAGTACATCTATTTTTGATCGATTTATCTTTGAGTCATTTTGAATATATAAAACCATATTCTACGTAACATAACAATATGTATTAATTTGTGACTAAAACTTTTATATACGTGCGTACGTACATACATACAATCAAATATCTATATATAATATATATACCTTATAATCTTTGACTAATCCATTAAATTTGTCTTTACAATTATTACCTGTAAAATACGTTCCAAATTCAAAATTAATTCTAGTTGCTACACCATTCCAAAATAAAGATTTTTGACTTTTAGATATATTATAAAATTTTGTATTATTTTCTTTATGCTCATTAATTAGTATACAAACATATACTGCCTTCCATATTTTTCTGAACAATTGAAGTTGGATTAAGTCCAAACTATCTTTTTTTATAATTACTAATGAGTATGTTTTATTAATAAATTTTTTGCATATCTCTTCTAATAAGCGATTCCAATAAAATCTCCAGATTAGATAAAATATGAAAATCATATTTTTTAAACAACTGCCGATAACTCAAACTTTTGTCTATGAAACTATCTTTTGCGCATTAACAAAAAAAATTAGATACAAAATTTTGGTATAGGATAAGCCTTCTTTTAGTCATTAACTTAAGTTTTATAACTTTAAACACTGATTTGTAAACAAAATTAAATTGACAGCCATCTAATCATTCAATTCGAATGATTTTTCTTTTATTTTGTAAAACTTATTTAGCTTTACAAAATAAGAAGTTCATTTGAATTGAATAATTAGATAGTAAGCAAATTTAATTTTTGTTCACAAAATCAACATAGCCTCAGAAGCAGGGTTGAAAACATCATAGCTCAGCTATCTACTACATCAATGCTTATTGTTTATAGTGTCTTTTTTGATATAAATTTATCACTACGTATTGAATAAATATTTATAATAAAATAATTTATTCAACAATTTATATAATATGCATACATATAATTGTAATTCTAGCCAATAAAATTTCAATATACTATAGATCAATAATGACAATTTTTCAATGGCTAGTGAATTACTATGATATTTTCGCACTGCTTTGAATTATTAATAAAAAATTAATAAGGGGATTAGCACTTATCACAGAGATATAACCCTCTTCAGAGTCAGCCATTTGACAATTATAAAGTAATCATAGTATAAACTTTATATGATTAGTTATTTTAGAGCTTGCAATTGTCAAACGATTAATTGTTTTAGAGTTTGTAATTGTGTATTGGAATTTGTAATAATAAAATCTGTATAGGATATAGTCGGGGTGGAGAGTTTAAGTTTTTTTTAGATGCTTTTGGTATTATTTTTAAAGACAAAAAAGAAAGAAATTTTAAGCAAAAATGATTTAATAATGGCAG